TTTAATTTTCTGTGTGAGTCTAATTGAACACATGTCAATTTTTAATCTATTCTCCCATTGGTTGTAATACACAGACAACCAATAATTTATCCATACCTGATTAATATATATATATATATATATATATATATATATATATATATATATATCGATTCTTAACACTCACTCACACACACTTAGTTTCACTGTGTGCTTGCTTCGTGTACGCTTGCGGATCTTACCAATCTCTAACAATAAACTATCTCTATAACTGAAGTTCGGGCTTTCGAATAATCTCGAGTAAATCCATAATTCTACTAGGAGATTTAACCTGCATTAAATACTCAGTTAACGGGAAACTATTTACTGGAGTCAGATATAGGGGAAATTCGCCTCTACAAACCTCACGATTTTCTAAATTTGTGTTTGTTTACATAGACATTTATTGATTAGTTCGTGTCAAGTGGTATTCAATTTCATTTATTCAAATCTCGCTGTTGATCAGTGTATATAAAACATGATAATCAATATGTATTCAGATGTGGTTTCGCTTCATTTTTAGTCTATAACGAATCCTTTTTCATTGTCTTCTTTCTTGTGTCATGTGAATCACCGCCTCCTGATGCAAGTACCAGTTTCCAGAAGGTTATGTCATTGATAAATGCTTATCATGTACATGTAATAAGGGTAGGATTATCTAATAATTCCAAGTTCGAAAGAGAAATAAAATTTGTACTTATTCTTTTTATTTAAATCCTTCGATTATAATTTAAAAACGTTTTCCTTAAAATGAACTATATTTACATTCAATATATATTCTTTCATTTTGCATCATATTTTAGGATAGTTATATATAATTTTAACAAATAAGTCTTGAAACTATGCTAAGAAAATCTGGTAAAAGTACTAAGAAAACTTTACATAAATTACAAAACATGTGACAATTTTACACCGGATATATAGTGTTCATGATCCTTCAATTTCACCAGTGATATTTGTCTCACTCTTGACATGGTTGAGAGTTCACTGGATTATATGTTTTAATTAAAACTGATTTATTCACGAATAACAACTTTACGGCTGCGAAACGTGGCCATTAAGAGAAGAAAATACTCGTAAGCTACTAGTATCTGACTGTAGATGCCTTAGATATATTACTCGCATCTTCTGGGGTCACCGGGTAAGTAATGGTGAGGTTAGACGAAGGGTATTAGGGAATGATGGTAAATCAGTTGATGAGGTTGTGAATCTTCATCGACTGAGATGGTTGGGCCACGTGTTGTGTATGCCTGAACACCGATTACCACGACGCGCGATGCTAACCAGTAATGGGGATGGTTGGAAAAAGTTAGGAGCGGCCAAACCGGAACGTGGCATCAGTGCTTGAAGTCACTAACTTCTAGTCTTAGTCATGCTGGTAGATACAGGCTACTTGGTTGGGGTCCGCGTGACTATCGTAACCAATGGTTGGAGACTCTTGGTGACATGGCTCAGAACCGATCAAAATGGCGTAGGTGTTTACACTCTCTGTTTTCGCTTGAATTATGAAGTTAAAATCATTTCATATCTTTCTTACTCCTGCTTCGGTTTGGGCACCCGGGCAGTTTTACAGCCCTCACACATACCAAATGAGATGTATGGAGCATATATATTCGGTACCTCCTTGTACCAATATCTATGTGTTAAAATAAAATAAAATAAATATCTTTCTTACTACGAACTAATTCTTTCTACCTGTACTATGTTCTTATATGCAATCTTTCTTTTATGTATCACCACCACTGAATTAACTACTATGAATCCGGTGTTCATCTTGTTGTGCTAATTATGTATGGCAACTTGGACCGATGCATATATGTGCATAGTCCTACGTTGTAGCTGACTGACTGACACAAAGATTAACACTGTTGAGCAGAGGATTATCATTGGAAAAATGAATTTGTTAAGATTGTTTGACTTAAAGTTAGTTTACAACATGGATTGATGATTTTTTTAAACAATCATTGAAAACAATGGAAAACTTAATTACTATCTTATTCTTGGTCCATGTTTTTAATTACTTATATATGACAAATATGTTAAAAACATGCTTATCATTAAAATAATGGTTTATTTATAGTATGAAAATAATTTTTAGTAAAACAGACAATCATTTATATTGAGATCATGAACCGATCAATGTTAGACCACTATTGAAAACTTGAAAGCATTGGACGACAGATTCGTCTTAGCATTAGACCCCTCAAAAGTGCACATCCACGAGTCTTCACGCGGCATTCGGACCCAGGACCTTCGGTCTCACGCGTGAACGCTTAACCGTTCGACCATTGGGTTCGCTTTCAACGGTGTTAACCATTTATATATTAGAAATTTCGTTGTAACATTTCTATTGCTAAAGTTAAATCATCATTTTCAGATGTTCTATAAATTACATTATTTATGACGTTAGTTAATAAAATAAGCCAATTATAAAAAACACATTTTTTAATGCTTCTTATAATTTACCTGGATTCCAGTTTAATGTGACTTGGTTTCATTATACTTTGAAATGTTATAAAACTTTAACTAACTAACAAAGAACGTCATATGTTACTTGATTATGTCACTAATGATTTGGCATTCTGTCAAACATTACGATAGAGATCGATAACAGATATTATTGATTTGCTAGTCATTTTCAAGGACAAACTCGTAGGTTGCATAATTTACGATTATATTGAAATGAATATGACATTTATCAAATTTTGATTGTAAGAAATGTCTGAGTAAAACATTATAATATCAAAAAAGATGGTTTTGTAAAGTTTGGCTTATTTTTATAACCTCATTTACGAACAGAATAAAATCTTAGCCGGAGGATTAGAAGAAGACTAAACGATTTGCATAAAGTCTATTTAGCTAAAGAAATGAGCCAGAGTGGAATTTTCAACTTATCAAGAGTTGATAGTGTAAGAAATTCGTAGTTTACATCATGGACTAAATTCAAGTGGAAAACTGTTAAAAATTAGGGGTCATTGGACAGTTGTTTAACCTCAGTATGAAACTTTTCAGAAGTATATACCTAGAGCTAAGTCAAAGACTAAATGCAGAACTATCAGACTTATTGTCAGGCGTGCTACCTTTCAGACTATCAGGATAACACCCAATGTGTTACATCTTCATGAATTACTTGATGCTTAAAGGGTATTTAAATTTAGGAAAAAAAGAGCTACTACCTTCATTCAAATATTCTTCTAATCTGTTTCAATCAGTCCCTTATTGTTCGGTTCAATATTAAATTATTAAACAAAACTTATACGTGAAGTTTGTATTGATTCTTCAGTCTTTTTTTCAACTGTATGCACTTTTTTTAGGAACGGAATATTTAGTCATCGCACAATTACTTGTGTTATTTAAAATCAGAGTTCATCTAGATAAAATGTGAAGAGTGTTATTATTGACTTAAACTCTAAGCAAAAGTTAGTTTAAATCCTATACACTCAAGGTACAAGAAATACACTACTAAACAATAACAGTCACAAAAGACGACAGCAATCTAAATACACTAACAAAATTGCAATAACTTTAACTATATGAAGCTATTTCAATCATCTAAGACCAATGTTTTTATTTCTATAGAGGTTCGTTCTCAAAGTAGTGAGAATTCTATTCACTAAAAAACTTGATGGAAGAGTCAAACCACTAGAATTTTCAGTAATCATCTTATTTCATCTCCAGCTAGTGGAATTATGACATGCCGAGGGTGAGGTAGGTGTCGTTAATGTTATTAGACAATGCTTGAACGATATCTTGAATTGACCGAGGTTGAGAATATTTGTTATCAAGTATATACTCAGTTGTCTGAATATACTATGCTGTCTGTAATATCTGGAGGTTTTAGACAGATTTTTATTTAGAGTTATAGATGTACACTATGAGAAATTACAGGGCTAGAATGAATCAATTACTAAGTCCCCCAACAATTTACCAGCTGATATCAGTCTGCGATAAAAACTAAAACAAAAGTAAACAATTTTCTAAATCCTTGATTTTAATACCAATATCTTGTTATTTGTTGGTGTGTTACATAACCATAAATTCAAGAATTGATCAACAGATTTACAAAGTACGATACATACATAGTTTATGCAAATTACAATTCATGGTAATTTGTTCTAGTCATATTACTGAAAATAACCGAACACACAATAACTAAAAGCATGTGGTAAACCAATCTTTTACATACCTGTAAACTGTTAAGTCATCAATCAATCTAAAAGATAATTTCTCTACTTTATAATTGATAGGTCAATCAAAAGTGACCAATATTATGTATGTCAAGACCTTCTCAATGTTGATTGTACTATATCGATTGAGTTTCAGTGTGGCCACTAGCTTAAGTAACTTGACCTACTTTTCGTGTTATTTGGTGCTTATCAGTAAAGTGTGCCTGTAACCTTGAGGAAACTGGTGTGCGAGACTATAATTTACGGACGAAGCAATCAGGTATAAGAAAACAGGTCTCGGATTTTGGCGCGAGATTCACTCATTCGTTTGGTTAAATAGAGTCTTAGCATTATAGTTGATGTCAGTTCGTGATGAAAACCCTAAATCTAACCCCTAACCTTAACCATCAACTGTAAATCATAATCCTTATCCTTCACACAGGTTTATAACCCTTATTTAGCTCTAGTAAGTAGGTTAACACTTAAAGTTAGTCTAGCGTCGCTCAAAGGTCGTCCATAAATTATAGTCTCACCAACTGGTGCTCCATGACCAATTCTATCCTGTGTTACCCAGCTTTAAAGTTGGAGACGTTACCACTGGGCTATTCGGGCCACGAATGACATCCTGTAGAGATAAGATATATTTACAATTGATTGGTCACTACACAGTGATCCATTTCATGTACACATAAAGTTCTTTGTAGTGTTGATTGGATTATATTAATCAATTTCGCGTTACTTTATTTATTGTTTTAGAAGGGAAGAATGGAAAGTTTATATTCATTGGTATTATTTTTTTACTGTTTATCTACTTACCGGCTGTGTCAAGAACTGAAACTTCTACGTCATATCCTCTTAAAGAAACTTTTTTCAGATAAGAATCTGATTTTGTTGGTTCATATTCATCAACAAACTAAATAATCTGAAATCAAAAAATAACTTGATACAATTCTTACTTCGTCGTACATAAATTGCAATGTTAATGCACTTTTACCAACAGTCCCAACACCTAACATACCAATATAGATGCGTTCCAAAGGTAACGCCATTTTGACTAAAATTCAATAAGTAATTTCTACTTTTCTTTTGAAAATATGAATAAGTTCAGTTCCCTTCTGTTTTGTACACCTTAGTTAGAATAAGAAATTACTGTTGTTAATATTACTTTTGCAGATAAAGATTATCAGGAGTCAAATGATTTTGTCTCCTTACTTTCAATACACTGAGACAGATTCAAATAATTGTCTGAAAAGGAGAAAATAATATTAACATTTACCAAGCAAAGAACGATTTGAATATGTTATTATATGGTGTTAAATAAACTTCGAGAACCAAGGTATCATCTTACCCTTTGCTGAAAAGTTTAACTTTATAAAACAGATGAAGTATAGGAAACGGTGGAAATCGCCATTTTTACCCTGTGACGCTTGATTTCTCTATCAGTTTTTGGCCTTCTTTGTGATATCTAATCATCTATTATACAATTTTAATTGTAGTTAGTATTTATGAAACCCAGGTTTCGGATATTTTATTTTCAATCTTACTACCTGGACAATTTACTGGATTCTTAAAGTTGCAAGTGCATATATTGTCACGTATAATTTCTGTCCTGTTACGTTCTTGAAGCTGTAGTGACCTGCTTTTGTCAACAGAACGCGATTGGTTCGATGAAAACAATTATTATTATAACCAATTGTACCAGTGACTGTTTTACTGTGCTCGTTTGTTTAACTGTGCTAATGACAGCCATTATACTTACTCTCCCGTTGACTTTGAACTTGTACGAATCCGGTTACGCTCAGCAACCACACTTGTACTCCTTTGGCACGATCTCGGTATTCTTTCGATACCACGAGATCGCCAACAAATACATCTCGACTACAGCCATCATCTGTCTTCTGATTTTTGGCCTACGGGAATCTTATTGGTTAATTGGCACGTAGTCTTGTAGCGGTGTTCATAGTCAAGCTCAACTCGACACCACGCTACATTTGGTGATCCAAATATTGGAACACGCCTCAACCTCGGTCAAATCTTTCAAAGAAGGCAATTCGGTGAGTCTATTGTTTTATCTATCCACGTCTGTCATATATTTTCATATTAATTTTTAATATATAATATATTTGACCTGACGGATAGCGATAAGAATAGTATTAATATAATAGACTCCGATGTACGCGTACCGAATCCTCGGCACTTTTTATTCGCGTGACGATAAATTCCACGCTTTATTCGAGAAATTCCCCAGATTAACTAAACCACTCGAGGAGATTTCATCGGTGACCAATCGTGTGGTACACCACATAGTCACCCGCGGACCACCAGTCACGGCAAGACCACGCCGACTGGCACCGGACAAATTAGCCTTCGCTAAACGTGAGTTTGACAATTTACTATCTGCTGGTATTATTCGTCCTTCTCACAGTCCTTGGGCCTCTCCTTTACACATGGTGCGCAAAAAGGATGGGGTTAGTTGGAGACCATGCGGCGACTACCGAGCATTAAACGTAGTTACGCGCTTTGATAGTTACCCCATCCCCCACATACACGACATCACGGCATCGCTCAAGGGCACGACTATCTTTTCTAAAATCGATCTGGTACGAGCATATCACCAGATCCCAGTCACTCTTGAAGACATCGAAAAAACTGCTATCACGACTCCTTTCGGTCTGTTTGAGTTCCTACGAATGCCATTTGGATTACGGAATGCTGCTCAAACTTTCCAAAGGTTTATCGATAGCATAGTACGAGACTTGGATTTTGTTCACGTCTATATTGATGACCTGCTGATCGCATCATCAAACGTAGATGAACATTATCAACACCTTACGCTATTATTCCAACGTCTTTCGGATAATGGAATAGTAGTCAACCCAGAGAAATGTGAATTGCGTAAACCAGAAATAATATTTCTGGGGCACATCATCAAACAAGAGGGTATTCTGCCTTGCGAGGACAAAATTCGAGCAATCAAGGAGTACAACGTGCCGTCCTCAATCAAGGAACTGAAGGCTTTTCTCGGTTTGGTTAACTTCTACCGACGTTTCATCCCTCACACGGCAGAACGGTTACGACCACTAACCGATTTACTACGCGGTAATCCACGCAAATTAGAATTGAACGATACCGCACGTACTGCATTCTCAGAGATCAAAACGGCTCTCGCTGAAGTTACACTTCTCGCTCATCCTGACCCATCAGCCACGCTTAGTATAGCGGTTGATGCATCGGATTTTGCCATAGGAGCCGTTATGCAACAGAATATCTCCGGTAGTTGGCAACCGCTCGAATTTTTCTCACGACGCCTTACTCCCACGGAGACGAGATATAGCGCTTTTGGTCGCGAGCTGCTTGCAGCCTACTGCGCCATCAAACATTTCCGGCACGCAGTAGAAGGACGCCAATTCATTTTATTCACCGACCATAAGCCCTTAACGTATGCCCTGCATACCAAGTCTGACCGCTACTCACCACGAGAGTGCAGACATTTGGACTATATCTCCCAGTTCACGACAGACCTTCGTCACATTAGAGGCGAGTCGAACTATGTTGCCGATGCTTTTTCACGTATCCAGACGAATGCAGTTACTTCACCGGTGCTCGATCTTCCTGCTATGGCGGCCGCGCAAGCAAACGATCCTGTCTGTACAGAAGCACCACAATCTTCGTCCCTTCAGTGTCAGGAAGTACCCCTAGCTACTAGCTCAGGTACTATCCTATGTGATATTTCTACCGGTCTTCCTCGACCCATCGTACCCTCTACCTATCGCCGTCTCGTCTTCGATGCCCTTCATGGATTGTCTCATCCAGGTATCGCAGCCACATTACGTCTCATCGCTGCACGATACGTCTGGCCGTCCATGAATAAAGATGTTCGTATGTGGGTGAAGCAATGCTTACAGTGTCAACGATCAAAAGTGCACAGGCACGTAGCTGCCCCCATTGACACGTTCGCTACGCCTGATGCTCGCTTTGATCACGTTCATATAGACATTGTAGGACCATTGCCACCATCGCATGGGTATGATCACATACTCACGTGCATTGACCGTTTTACAAGATGGCCCGAAGTTATTCCCATCACGTCTATCACGGCGGAGACAGTTGCTCACCGCTTCGTATAACGATGGATAGCATTGTACGGTTGTCCCTCGACTGTCACGACTGACCGAGGACAACAATTTGAGTCCGCATTATTCTCCTCACTGACCCGGCTGCTTGGTACGGAACGCATACGCACTACCGCCTACCATCCAGCATCGAATGGTTTAGTCGAACGGTTTCATCGCCAACTTAAAAGTGCTCTCCGAGCACACGAAAACGACAATTGGTACGAAACCTTACCGCTCGTTCTCTTAGGCATCAGAACGAGTTTGAAGGCAGATATTCAATGTTCCGCCGCTGAACTTGTATACGGCACGACATTGCGTCTGCCTGGGGAATTCTTCACACCACGGAGCAGTAATGATTTCGGTAAATCAGACTACGTCCATCGACTGTCTGCATTTATGCGAACGCTGTCTCCGGTGTCAACTCGAATACAACATCGACAGGTCGCTCTCCCTCGAGAGTTATCTACCTGTTCACATGTTTTCATACGAGTAGATTCGGTACGCAAACCTCTACAACATCCTTACGAAGGCCCTTTTCACGTGATCTCTCGTCACGAAAAGACCTTCGAGGTTGATCGACACGGCCGCGTCGAGATCGTCAGTATTGATCGTCTCAAACCAGCACACGTCGATGACAGTGCCCTACCCTATAACTTGAGACTCAATGCTAGACCTATCAAACCTTCTAGCGGGATCTCTACGTCTACCTCGGATCCCACGCTAGATACATCAGAGACCTCGTTCTCACGTCCCGGTCAACAGCACGCGTCATCTGCACCATCTACGGACGAGACTTCCGTCTCACGTCCAGATCAGCAGACCACGCCGCCCTTGACCTCGGATGAGATCGCAGGCTCACGAAGCACGAACGAGACTACCGTCTCACGTTCCGGTCGCCGAGTACGATTACCCGTACGCTTTTGCGACTAACCGCACAGTCAATAACGGATACGGTGTAGGATTATTCCTATACTACACGCATGCTACACTTTTCTTTTTTTGATTTTTTTTTGTATCCTGAGCCCACGCCTCCGACCGTCGTCCGTTTGATAACGTCGACTTCAGTCAACTTTGGCAAAAGCTGGTTTGGCCACCCATGCTCTAGTCAACGCACTTAGTCGATTATCTGGTCTCGAATTTGCCTGACATACGCTTGGTCGTTATGGTCGCGTCCGGTTTCTTGGCTCAACGTGGTTTCGTCCTACGTCTGCAGCGTTTTCTGGTTCACATCCCTACGAACGCAATCATCAGATTCTGGATACAAACCACTCTGGTGTGGTATGCTAACTCGAGCAACAAATACAGCACACTTCTCCTGGTACCGTTCTGCGCAGAAGACCTCCGTTGGCAACTCGAGGATCAACGATCACTTCCTGTTCCGCCAATTTCCTCCGTCCTACAACCGCACTTCTGCCGATCAGTCCCACGAATCAAACCGCTAACTATCGAAAGTGTAAACCCTTTCTAGCGGGGGGCTCCTGTAATGACCTGCTTTTGTCAACAGAACGCGATTGGTTCGATGAAAACAATTATTATTATAACCAATTGTACCAGTGACTGTTTTACTGTGCTCGTTTGTTTAACTGTGCTAATGACAGCCATTATACTTACTCTCCCGTTGACTTTGAACTTGTACGAATCCGGTTACGCTCAGTAACCACACTTGTACTCCTTTGGCACGATCTCGGTATTCTTTCGATACCACGAGATCGCCAACAAATACATCTCGACTACAGCCATCATCTGTCTTCTGATTTTTGGCCTACGGGAATCTTATTGGTTAATTGGCACGTAGTCTTGTAGCGGTGTTCATAGTCAAGCTCAACTCGACACCACGCTACAAAGCACAGTCGACTAGTACACTCGTAACTTACGACTCAAATAGCGAGAAAACCAAGTTTCAGCCCTGATATAAAAATTTTATTCATAAATTGCAAATAACCAACTCAAGTATGTTGTTTTGATAATAATTGTAACAAATTCCACAACAAAACTTCAATCTTTTGGTTTCTAGAGTAAAATTTTGAAACTATCAGACCAAAATATGGGACCGAGAGGTCAGGGTCAAAATTATGAACAAATACGTCCGAAGTTTGGGTTAGTCATATTCAAGACCCAGCAAAAATAATAATGTTCACAGTAACAGTTTATAGTCAGTTAAACACTTTGAATCTCTCCTGTAACACATACCATTTGTGTATGCGGCAATTCACGAGGTTATCTACCGGATGGTAGTGCCCTTAGTCCTCTCTATAAATTGTGTCGCATGACTGATTAGTCTGACTTTAAATGGCTTGAGAGAGCATATCCATTATTCTCATATACATATTGGGAGTACGGAAAACAGCACTGTAGATATAAAAACAAGTTATGGGAATTGAGGATGATCATGAAGATGAAAATTGAAGATTGACGGACACCTTTTACACGTTACAAACTGAAAGGGTTATGTAGCCGATGTCACTACAGGCGCCCCTAGCTTTGACATATTCCAGTGTTTTGTGTGATCTATGGAAGGAGGCCTCATCCCTGTTGATTAACTTCCTCATTTCCTTATAAACACTTCTATAAATTAAGGATAAAAGCGAAAGTGATGTTTTCTGACGAATACACGTGTTTAACCTCCTAATTATTCCCGATCATAAAGCAACACATTGGTTTCTGGTGCGACGTGATAGCAACTTTATTTTTTATTTCATTTAAACACATAAACATCGGCACAAGAAGGCATCAAATATATGTGTCACACAAATCATTCAATTTGTGTGAGGGCTGGGATACTGCCCGCGCGCCCAAACGGAAGCGGGTGGTTTTCTTAGGAAGTCACACCCGGAACCTTCGATCTAAAGGTCCTAACCATAAGACAGTGTAGCAACGTCAGGAGATGCAAACCCATGGTAGATGGTCACCAACGATTGATACATACGCCATTTGTTCCTTCAGGATACTGGAGCCCATGTGCACTATTGGTCTGGAATCAGGGTGGACTCTCCGTGTCCACCATTTTAACCTAAATTTAATCTTTGATACATAACTAGAGACGGTAGAATACCAGAACTAAATAGTTCCATTCTGTACTATTTACTTCTGTTAAGATTTCTGACTGACCTTACAACAATAAAGGAATGGGCAACAAACAATGAGTTAACAAATAACCTGTAGAAATATCATGTTATAAATATTCTGGCCTATTCGACACAAAGAACTTGCATACTCCATGGAAATCCGGCCCCGATCGTCTCCTCAGAGCGTGATCATGGGCTAGTAACCACATAGAATTTAGGCACAAGTTAAAAATATGGAAAGGATGAGGACAATCTAAACGTGACTCTTCACTTTAACCGGAACAACTCGACACAGTCACCCCAGAGTTATTCTTAACCCTCTTCAAAACGTACGCACAGCTCTACCTTGAAATCCACAATTTCGTCGCACCTTCCCCTCTTCGAGACACAAATATCTTATATTAAGTACAGACAGGGAACTAAATGTGTGGTGAGTCTAAAATAAGTCTTACGAAGACCGACTTCAACACCTGGAGTTATTTTCGTTGAGCTATAGTAGAATAAGAAACGATCTGATAACAGCATATATATTAAGCAATACAAGTCACCCCAACACAAGCATCCTATCAGGACATTACGACTACGCTTTTCGAGGCAACTCCCCAAAAACAGTACATTAAAGAACAAGAACCCAGGTGCACTCTCACTTTTTCGCATTAAGAGTTGCTCCTATTTAGAATGCTTTCCTAGCCTGTGACCATAGCCCCTTCATTGGACGGCTTTAGGAGGAGACTAAACAAACACGTGCTAATCCACGGATTACCATCTCCCACTTGAGCCAACTGTATTTGGTTGGTCTCATAATACACTGCTATTATTGTCATATCACACTAATTCCTGTCTCGCTTATTATCATCGTTTTCTCTTGTTTTACATTTTGGTCTTCTGATACTTTCCGCATTACCAATTAACTAACTTATGATTTCTGAAATAATCATCCTATAGAAATCGAATCATCACTTTGTCTTTGAATTTCTTACAACCAACCTCCTGTCTGATGATCTGATAGCTTCTGGTATCTAGGATCCCTACTGCTCTGAGACATGCACTCACTCGAACTAAAGGATAATCAAATACACAAATGACTATTAGACCGATTAGAATTAGTGCAGTCGAGTGACTAGACTAACACCCACTGGACATTATCAAATACATGGAACGGTACTAAAACAAGAGGGCGTAAGAAAATCAATTGATTAACACACGTTTGTGACAAAGATATGGGAATCGCATCACGGATTTGTTACAGACACTCTACTTGGTGAATGGTGAGATTTAGTCAGTACGGCTTCCAGTTGTCTGTAAATGCAAGCAACCAAAACCTAATGACCAACAGAGGAAAAGCCTGATAGAAAAGGGCGATAGATCATCAAGAACGTTTTAAAAGAGGTATAGCAACAGTAACATGAACGTCGATCAAGACGTAATTGATAAGCATCTCATTTGAAATAAATTGATGACCATAGGACCAGTTAAATACAAAGCTCATTTAAATGAATTAAATTTGATAACATCACCACCAAGAAGGATTTCCCACATGCATATCTTATGACAACCAACTATACACACTAAAACTAAAATTCTCAGGAGAAAAAGCTATCCAAAAAGATTAAATAGCTTTCCAACAGTTTAATGGGTGAATATATGTCGGATCCACATGAGACTATTTTAGTGTAAAATATAAGAATCCTAACGAACAATCTATGTAGTTTTATTGAAATTTATGACCGATTACAAGTAATACGTGGTTAATGACTCTGAGTAAAAAAATTAGACAACGTTATGTGGCGACTTGAGTGTAGTCAGAAGGTACTTTGCGTACTAGGAAATCACAAATAGTGGAGTGAGTGAGGAGGACTTTAAAAGAGAAGATCAAGAGGCGAGTCGATGACCCAGCAAGTAGACACAATACACTTACTTTTACTACGTAAAGCAGTAGACAACAACCAGCGTTGGCACAAAGTAGCAACGGTTATTGGTTTTGAAATTACCACAGAAAAACTATTTATAACTAAGTACTCATTGAAAATGTCAAACAAATCTTGCCGAAGCCGTTGAATGGACAACGACATTCACCATAAAAGTCCAAACACATTAACCTCATATTTTGAGTTTAAAAGTTTTTATTTTAAGATTTCAGTTTATTCAGGCTGTTCATTTTTAGCTGGTTATGGATATATCTAGTGCTTTGAAACCCTGATTTATGCCTTATAAATGACAACGTTTTAGTCAATAGTGTGTTGAAACATGAATGTATCCAGTTCAGAGGGAGGGAAATAATATCCCTTTAACAATGGATTATCTGTCATTTTTGCAATTCTCAGGTTGAATACATGTGTAAGGCAAACACAAAATGAACTAATAACTGACATAGAACAGATTGCTCAAAGGGTTTCAAGAAATACGTCAATATCGCAAATGTTTTTGTCAAAATTAGGTCAGATTCCTTTATCACTTCTGATGTAAAGTGGTCTGAAGCTATTGATATAATAACAACATGGACTGATTTATCATGACTTGGCCGCGAGCATATTAGTAATGTCAAAACATTATAGCTCAAGTATCCATTCGCTTCTTTATTCTGCATGAGCATTACAGTTCTTATCATATTCTGTTGAATGTTGAAAGACTTTGTATGTTTGAAAAAGATAACCTCGTGCCCCAAAGCTTCTGTTCCACGATCCAAATAAAAACCTATCCACTACTAGTCTGGTTCCTTCTATCGATGGAACGAGGAGCAGTAGCCGGCACGAAATTCCTGGGCCTTGTTTTGAATACAGAAATTAATTTCTGGTTCACTTATTTTGCTCGATTATCTTTATATTCATACAAAATTCATGTTACATGGTTTTTTATCTCAAGGAATTCGGGCTTTACTTATTATTTTACCCTGCTCATATTATGGAGGTACGTTGGTCATATATCACATGTTAGACTCAATCCAAAGTTTAGGTCTTGAGAATAAATGTAATATGTCACCGGTGGAGATAGACACTGTTAAGACTGCGATTATTCGACTGCCAGAATCTGTTTGTAGTGACCCCGAGCTGTGGTTCGCTCAAGTAGATCATTATATTATGGGACACAATATTAAATCTGATGGAATTAGCCACCGAAAGTTATGCTCCTCCCTCCCTCCTTCAGTTGTCAAACAAGTCAGCGACTTCATTTTGAGCCCGTCATCATCACAGCTATACACCATTTTAAGGCAAAAGATAATGAACCGTCTATCCTAATCAGACCGCTAAAGCACACAAGGCCTTCCCAATGAGAAATATTGGGGGATAGATCACTACTATGGTTTTCCCATCACCTACAAGTCTTAGTTAATGACAATACATTGGGTGAATCAGTCCGAAAACAAGGATGGCTACAAGTTCTCCCACGCTATGTTCAACAATCTTCGGATGCTAAGAACCAGGACACCTCTCTATCTCACTTAGCGAGTGTTGTGGATAGATTGATGGAAAAAGGTCCTTTTACAGGATCATGTACGATACATCTTACACAAAAAGAAGAATCATCATAGAATTCAGTCATAGCAGGACTCATTGAGAGTGTTAAAAGTCTCATAGAGGTTGTCAGCAAAGTTCAAATGGATTATAAAAACAAAAGCAGGTCACCACAACAACTGACATCTAAATCACATAACCGGTTAAAAAAAGGTCCAGAAAATCTGGATAGCTCCGTTTTTATCACTGTAAGTTTAGTGTCAAATCAATCAGATGCAGCCAATCATGTGCCTGGCCTGAACAGATTCCCAAGAATATGTGAGACGAATTATTTTTACCCATGTTGCGAAGATTGAACAGGAATGCCTAAACGGTCATTTGTTTTATGTTAGGGACAGAAATTCAGGATCCAACCTTCTGGTAGATGCCGTAGCGGAACTCTGCCTTATTCGTCACGACAAAACTGAGCTAAGTCGAACAATTTTCCGTTACACTCTAAGCTGCCAACAAAGCTGAAATCGCGACGTTTGAGCAGGAAACGTTGAGGCTACACTTGGGGTTTAGGAGGCAATTTCCCCGGGTGATCACTGTAGCCGATTTAGATCTAGCAATACTGGGAAATGGAAGTTTTAGAAAGATATGAATTGCTAGTCGACACCAAAAAATGACGCCTGATACCGAAAGAAAGTCAGATTCACGGGTTTTCTAATAGCTATACTGATAACCGGCAGCAAAATTGAAACAGTGGACAAAGCTTCCATTAGGAACTAGGCGACCATTTTTGGTACACCTATTACAATAACGACTGATAGAGGAGTCCGATCTGAATCTAAGCTATTCAATAACTTATCCGAATTTCTAGGCTCTAATAGAACACGTTGTACAGCAGATCACCCTCAGGCTGATGGGATGGTAGAACGTTTCCATCGTTAATTAAGAGCTGTCCCTGTATTATAATCAGGCCCCAGTCAGTGGACAGAACTGGCATTACTTAGTTTGAGAATACAGACAACTTTTAGCAGCAAAACCAGTTTTCAGGACGACTCTGAGGCTACCGGCTAAGTTTATTAACTCTCGTACAGACAGTAAAAAGTTTGATCCACACTTAAACCAATTAATACTCGTGCACAATTGCGAGCGACATATGTACGTCTGGATAAGGTGCGACAAAATCAAATCACCAATAAGTCCTGCATTCGAAGTAATCTCAAGGAAACTTAAATATTTCGTGATACAAAACATGGAAACACAGACGTCGTAAGTATTGATAGGCTAAAACCGGTTTACCTAGATATATGAATGGCTGTATGTTTTGTTAGATGAGTTGCCTGAAAAAGCAATCACGGAATTGACAAGTAGCAATAAGAATTCTCTACAGGTGAACGAAAGTGTTAGATGGGCATAATCAAGCATCCAAACAGGGATATCTACAGTTCTGTCCTCAGTCCGATATTGATTCATATATCTGATAAAATTTTGTTTTTTTATTTTGTGTTTTTCTTAAAATAATGAAAAATCCGGAAGTCTTTGTTTCTTCGTACTATTTCGCCTATTTTATTTCTAAATTATATTATTAACAAATATTATCACAACTCGCCGAGATTTATAGATCGAAAATTCCATATCAACAGGGTTAAGTCGCAAAGCAACGAAGAATATTCGACTAAGATCAGTGGTGTGAGCACGCTATGCTTATGGAACTGATCATTTTTCCAGATTTTTCCACCAACAGAAGACAATGAGGACGATGGATGAAAGCATCAGACAAAATCCCTGTGAATACTTACTATCAACTCAAACAAGGAACCCTAGCAATAACAATCCTGAAAACGATCCAAGTGGGCTCTACTAGTCCATTAAATGATCTATTATACTTACAGTACTTAAGAGTATGTATCATCTTATACCCATTAAGGCTAATCATATATATTGTCACTAAAACATCACCCACAAACGCGTTTTTGGTATAACATTCATCCAGTGATTTCACATGACAACACAATACTATGAAAAAGTGCTTTCTAGACGAAGTATTTTAGATCAAACAATAGTTCGATACTTTTCAGTGGTTCTTATTGTCATTTTGACATGCTTATGAAGGTTGTGCACTAGGTTAACGAATAGTTTTGCAACGTGATGTGTAGTGAAATTAGTTAGCCCACATTCATTCGGGCTATTCTTATCATCGATTTCTGACATTTTTGGATCAATAAACATAAACGTATTCTGAACCATCAAAATTCTTTGGCATCTAAAACAACACCACCCAGCTATCCAACCAATAATTTTTCAATTAATCAAACCTAAATTACAATAAATAAGGAAGTTGAAAAAGGATGCCAGAAAATTACCAGCAGCAACAAATAAATACTATTCTATCCTGTCTGGATAGATCACGCACAGATTCGTTCCAAAGATAATATTTGGTTGCTTTATAACACAGTGTTTCCAATTCTGGAAGAGTGCTTCAATTCACAATCAAAAATGCGCAATTCCAGTCAATACACTCAACACAATCAAAAGAAGGAACAAACCAATATGACTGCCGCTAAGAATAAGTGCCAAGTAAAATGACATGAAGGTAGTTCAGGAAGAAACATGAAAACTGAGTGAAAACGTAATAAAAATAAAAACTATAATAAAATACAAATGTAACAAACTCAAATGGAATGAAAAAAGACTAACAAAAATGTACAACTAAAGGAATCAATAAGAATAAACTGCAAGTGTATACATCAAGGGATTTTCAAACACAAAAAATTCAAAATGGATCTTACAGCATGTTCATGAAATTTTAGGCTTCATGTGTAACCAATACTTAGATTTAGTACTGGTTCGAGTGTTTGAACTCTACATTTATTTAAGTAACGTGGTTGTTTATGGCGATGTTCTACTTATTTACGTTCTGTTAGGAATAAAGAAAACCACGAATATAATGGGTTATTTATTCCGAAGGACTTTTTTGACGAGATGCCTTTTGCGTATGGCCTTTTCAGAAGCCTTCTTAAAGTCTAGGAATAGGACTGACACAAGGAGTCCGTTGTTCCTTTTCAGCGTCATATCGTTGAAGTAGTCTGCTAGGCATGCATCGCATGATCTGGACCTAAGAAACCCATTCCGAGAGGTCGAGACTACATGATTAGTTAGTAGTTATTGGACCACCGCCGCCCTAACTCCTTTCTTATCAGTCTAGATACCACGGAGGTAATGTTCATGGTCTGGTAATTTTCAACATTTGCTTCAGTTCTTGTCTTAATTTTGAGGATGATACATGTAGTTTCCTAGGCAGTAGGTAACACACTGTAGAGAGCGATATTAAAATACTTTAAGAAGTTTAACATAAATATCATCACTTCAACATTTCCAGTGAGCTAGATGGAATACCATCTGGTCCTTCAGTGTGCCAGCTACCTTAGAAATATTCTGTACATTGAATTGCATATTAGTAAATTCATGGGAAGACACTGAGGTGATCTCTAATTCATTTAGTGGCTCTTTGTTCGCTAATGAGGCCAGAAGTGTTCACTATATAGTTCCATAGTAGATTTATATGCTTTATATGCTTGATTGTTCTTAATAAATATGTTTCCTTCTAATGATTTTGGACATTCAAGTTTATT